TATAACTGGTAATGACAGATGAACAAATTTATAATATGTATTAATTGTAAATAAAGAACAATCTTAACATACACAAAAAATCATGGTCACAGATAAGGTCTTAACTACATACTCTGCAATTACTTATAATATGCAATGAAAGCAGGAACTGACAATATAAACATACCTCTCAAATACTTAATCATTTGGAAATTTAAAAATAGACTGGGTATGGTGGCTCAGCCTGTAATCCCAGCACTTTGGGAGGCTGAGATGGAGGATTGCCTGAGCCCAGGTATTTGAGACCAGCCTGTTCAACTTGGTGAGACCTTGTCTCTACAATAAATCACAAAAGCTAGCCAGGTGTGGTGACGTGCATCTGTAGTTCTAGCTACTTGGAAGGTTGAGGCTGAAGGATTGTGTAAGCCCAGCAGGTCGAGGCTGCAGTGGCCATGAGCATGCCACTGCACTCCAGCCTGGGTGACAAGAGTGAGACTCCAACTCAAAAAACAAAAAAGAAATTTTAAAAACACAAGCCTATAATCCCAGCACTTTGGGAGGCCGAGGTGTGAGGGGATTACCTGAGCCCATGGGACTGAGAACAGCCTGGGCAACTTGGCGAGACCTCATCTCTACAATAAATAAATAAAAAATTAGTTGGGCATGGAAGCATGCGCCTGTAGTTCCAGCTACTTGGAAGGCTGAGGTGGAAGGATCAACTGAGCCCAGCAGGTTGACGCTGGGGTGGCAGTGAATGTGCCACTGCACTCCAACCTGGGTGATGGAGTGAGACTCTAACTTCTAAATAAATAAATAAATTCACATTTCCCCTGACTCACATTAGTATTACTTAAAATATAACATGTTGAAAATGGGATGTAGTCAGAGCAGCAGTCACAAGGGTTTTGTTTTTTTTTTTAAATAGGAGTCTCTTTTATTTATTTATTTATTGAGTTGAAGTCTCACTCTGTTGCCCAGTCTGGAGTACAGGGGCACACTCATGGCCACTGCAGCCTCGACCTGCAGGGTTCAGGTGATCCTTCCACCTCAGTCTTCCAAGTAGCTGGAACTACAGGCATGTGCCACCACACCCAGCTAATTTTCTTGTAGAAACGATGTCTCATCAAGTTGCCCAGCCTGGTCTTGAACCCCTGGGCTCAAGAAATCCTCTTGCTTGGCCTCTCAAAGTGCTGGGATTACAGGTGTGAGCCACTGGGCCCGGTCATTTTTCTTTTTTTTTGTTTTTGGACCAGGTCTTGCCATGTTGCCCAGGCTAATCCTGATCTCTAGGGTTCAAGTGATCTTCTAGCCTTAGCTTCCTGAGTAGCTGGGACTACAAATGCACACCACAGAGCCCAGCTAAAGCATTTATTTTAATTGCTTAAAATATTTTTGTTGGCTGGGCTCGGGAGCTCAGCCTGTAATCCCAGCACTTTGGGAGGCAGAGGTGAGTGGATTGCCTGAGCCCACGGGTTTGAGACCCGGCTGGGCAACTTGGCGAGACCTCATCTCTACAATAAATCAAAAATTAGCCGGGCGTGGTAGCGCGTGACTGTAGTTCCAGCTACTTGAAAGGCTGAGGCGGAAGGATCGCTGGAGCCCAGCAGGTTGAGGCTGTGGTGGTCGGGAGCAACCACTGCACTCCAGTCTGGGCGACAGAGTGAGACTCCAACTCAAAAAAAAAAAAGAATATTTTTGTTATAGGAAAAAAACTTTAAGGCAAGCCATTTCTGGTTGCTTATAAAGCAAAAGAACTATCAATACACTATTAATCAGGAAATAAAAGTAGAAATAGACAAACAGGAAAAATAAGGGGAGACAAACTGTTAAAAATTAAGCCAGGGAGACAAAAATCAAGCCAGAAAGTTTAAAAAAAAATACATGTACTTTTTTTTTTTTTAAGCTGGAGTCTCATTCTGTTGCTCAAGCTGAAGTGCAGTGGCAGAATCATGGTTCACTGTAGCCTTGACCTCCTGGGATCAGGTGATCCTTCTGCGTCATCCTCCCTAGTAGCTGGGACTACAGGCACCAACCACCATGCCCAGCTAATTTTGTAATTTTTTTGGTAGAGATGAGGTCTTGCTATGTTGCCAAGGCTGGTCTTGAACTCCTAGGCTCAAGCAATCCTCTCACCTTGGCCTCTCGCAGTGCTGGAATTACAGATGTGAGCCACCGTGCCAGTGCGTACACTTTTACAAAATAAATTATTTAATTTTTTTTACAGAGAGGGGTTCTTGCTCTGTCTCAGGTTAGTGTTTAGTGGCACAATCATATCTCACTACAGCTCTGGAGTAGCTGACTACAGGTGCGTGCCACCACTCCAGGCTAACTTTTTTGTTTTGTTTTGTTTTGAGTTGGAGTCTCGCTCTGTTGCCCAGACAGGAGTGCAGTGGCCGCTCCTGGCCACCTCAGCCTCGACCTGCTGGGCTCCAGTGATCCTTCCACCTCAGCCTTCCAAGTAGCTGGAATTACAAGCGCACGCTACCACACCCGGCTAATTTTTTTTTTTTTTTAATTGTAGAGATGAGGTCTCGCCAAGTTGCCCAGGCGGGTCTCGAACCCGCAGGCTCAGGCAATTCACTCATCTCAGCCTCCCAAGGTGCGGGATTACAGGCTGAGCCACTGAGCCCGGCTGGGCTAATTTTTGTTGTTATTGTTGATGTAGGGTCTCACTCTGTTTCCCAAGCTGGTCTTGAATTACTGTCCTCCTGCCTTGGTCTCCCAAAGTGCTGGGATTATAGGCATGAACCAGAGCGATGCGATTTTTTTAATAAAAGCGGAAAATAACCCTGGAAGACACTTGGGAAGTTGTCAAGGAAGTACCTAACCCTGGTGAATAAATAAGCTCCTCGTGTTCTGTCTGCTGTTTCCGCTGGGAGGAAACCTGGCCATTCTACATTGCAGAGGAGAGTGGAAGCTGCACCAGCAAAAGGGGCCTTGTCTTGGCCAAAGTTGTTAACAGCTGGGGAAGGCCTCCGCAGGTTGTGGTAGAACGGTCCCAAGTGCTCCATGCTTTGTTTCCCCCTGTAGGTGAAAACGGGAAGGCGGTCCCGGAGGGAAGGTGGTCCCGGAGGGAAGATGGGAGGGAACAGTGTCCCCTGGTGGATAAGGACAGAGTCGCCGCCGCTGTGCAGAAGAAAAGGAGTCAGAGCCTGGCCCTAGTATGAGGGAGGAGGGAAAGAGTCATAGTTCGCCCTAAATTATTAGGTCTTCCGGGCTGTGCTTAGTTTCTGCGAAGAGTTCATACTTTCCCCATTTCTCTCCTTGGAGTCACTCCCATAGGAATGTTGGAAGTCCCCATCCTCACAAAGTGTAGCTCATGTGTTTCCAAATTTTCCACAAGGGGGACACAATGAAAATCACCACACAACCTACACTGTTCCACTATGAGCTGGAGTTATGTTTACTCAAATGTTTTTTCCTCTGTGGATCTGGACAGTGGCTGTTTGCTGACTAATAACAATCCCGTGATCATATCAACAAAAGCCCAAAAGTACTTAATAATACAGCATACAATTTTTTTTTTTTTGAGTTGGAATCTCACTCTGTTGCCCAGACGGGAGTGCAGTGGCCGCTCCCGGCCACAGCAGGCTCGGCCTGCTGGGTTCCAGTGATCCTTCCGCCTCAGCCTTCCAAGTAGCTGGAACTACAGGTGCACGCTACCATGCCCAGCTAATTTTTTGATTTAGTGTAGAGCTGAGGTCTCGCCAAGTTGCCCAGGCAGGTCTCGAACCCGCGGACTCAGGCAATCCACTCACCTCGGCCTCCCAAAGTGCTGGGATTACAGGCTGAGCCACTAATCCCGGCCAGCATACATTTTTATATAAAAACTTTATAGGCTGGGTACAGTAGGTCATGCCTGATATCCTGGTGCTTTGGGAGGCTGAGGTGGAAGAATTGCTTGAGGCTGAGGTAGAAGAATTGCTTGAGTTTGAGACCAAACTGGGAAGCGTAGCAAGACCTCCCCCCATATCTAAAAACAAAAACAACTTGAACAAACAGGAGTGGGGTAGGGACCCACAGCCAACAGTACAGTGGAGAAACAACCCTTTCCTCCTGTATTAGCACACCTACTCATCAGCATTCATGGAGCTCTTGACATATGCCAGCCATTCCACCAACCTATCAGACACTAGGGCCATAAAGACAAAAAGATACAGTTACACCCCTGGTGTGACCATCCCACATGGCAGGCTGGTTGAGAAATGAGGTCCACTCCAGAATGCTGAGCTGCAGGGGAGGGGCATCTGTTGGCAGAGGCCAAGTTTCTGTTGGCCTAGGGAGGTCTGGGAAAGCTTTTCAGATGAGGAGTGGCCAGTGTGCACACCCTCCTCCCCAAAATCTTGTGGGTCTGGTCTCTGCGAACCACACTCTCTTGACTGGGAAGAAGCTGCTCTACAGGGCATGTTTCAGGCAGGTGGTGCTTCTGGATTGCAGACAGGGAGACAGATAAGGCCTGGGGCTCATACTTGGTGTTCCAAAATGACACCATCACTAACCAATGTCTTCCGTTTCTGAGAAAGTTTGCGTTTCTGGGTGCTCTTGGCTTCTGGGAGAAAGAAGTTGTCTGTAGTCACTTCTGAAGACCCAGGCTGTGATCTGCACAAAGGGGAAGCTGATGGTTGGTAAGTGCCAGAGTCCAGAGTGAGGAAAGTCCCCCCATCCTTCCCATATCCACAAGGTACAGCCTCTTCTACCCCCAAACCAGGATCTGAGCCTTCTCAGCACTGCCTCCAGACTCCCAGAGATGCTGCCAAGCAAGTCCCTGGCCTGGACCAAAATCATTTTCTTACATTCCCAGAAGCCTTCTTCTCATTGCCAGAGTCTCACCAACTCCTGCAGTAGCAGGGTATCCTCATCATGAATGCAGAGAATGCTGTGGGCCTACACTTCCATTCCCAGTGTTCAGCTGTGGCTGTGGTGATGGCTTCATGTATATGACTCTGACACACGATAGGCGATAGGGGTGTGATACTAGAGGCAGGTGCCAATGCACAAGAAGCACAGGATCTGGATTCTCCACTTACTGCCTGATAGGGCCCAGGGCTGACATCTGGACTTCCCTTGGGCAAGTCATTTATTCTGTCAGCCTAGTTTTCTCACAGAGAAATGAAGACAATTCTTGATCTGTCTATCTCATAGAGTTGTTGTGAAATTTAAATAAGAGTGAAAGAGATATTCAAAATAATGTAAGGAGCTAAACAGATGTTAATTATGACAGCAGAATGGGAAAAAAGTGGATCATTAGGAGGTCTTTAACACTCAAGCATCAGTAGGGTACTGTGGCTCAAGTCTGTAATCCTAGCACTTTGGGAGGCCAAGGCGAGAGGTTTGCCTGAGCTCAGGGGTTTGAGACCAGCCTGGGCAGCTTGACGGGACCTCATCTCTACAATAAATTTAAAAAATTAGCCTGGCGTGGTAACATGCACCTGTAGTTCCAGCTACTAGGAAGGCTGAGGTAGAAGGATCACCTGAGTTCAGCAAGTCGAGGCTGCAGTGGCTGTGAACATGCCACTGCACTCCAGCCTGGGCAACAAAGTGAGACTCCAACTCAACAAAACAAAACACTAAGTATCTTGGGACAGTCATCTCTGCTTGGGCTAAGAAGGCATTTGGAGGTGAACAGGGAGAGGTAAAACAGAAGAACGAAGTAATTCCAGCAATCCATGGTGTGGGAGTCTATGATTTATGTTACCAGATAGACCTGTGTGTTCATTTCTCTTGCTTGCTGATGACTTTGGGCATTCCTTTTTTTTTGAGTTGGCATCTCACTCTGTCACTCAGACTGGAGTGCAATGGCCGCTCCCGGCCACCGCAGCCTCAACCTGCTGGGCTCCAGCGATCCTTCTGCCTCAGCCTTCCAAGTCGCTGGAACTATAGGCACACGCTACCATGCCCAACTAATTTTTGATTTATTGTAGAGATGAGGTCTCGTCAAGTTGCCCAGGCAGGTCTTGAACCCGTGGGCTCAGGCAATCCACTCACCTCGGCCTCCCAAAGTGCTGGGATTACAGGCTGAGCCACTGAGCCCGGCCGGGCATTCCTTTTAATATCTCTGAACCTCAGTATCTTTGTCCATAAAAGTGGGACTAGGATTACCCAAACTCCAGGGAAGTTGAGATCATTAATGCAAACCTAGTTGGGAAATCCTGAAGGGTTCTTCAGTCCTACTCTACAGAGCAGTAATACCCCCCAAGCCCTGGTCCTCTGTTGTCTCTCAATTTTGGACAAATGTGAGCAAAACACATGGAATAAGTAATCAGTGTGGAGAAGGAAGGTGTCTTCCCAGATGGCTGTGGGTTTCAGATGGTTGTGGAGACTAACAAGAAAGATACAGTAGGTCTGACATCATCTGCTTGCTGGGTTCAATCAATACCTTCCTATCAAGACCAAACAATTTTTCTTTTTTTTTTCTTTTGAGTCAAAGCCTCACTCTGTTGCCTAGGCTGGAGTGCAGTGCCATGCTCATGGTCAACACAGTCTTGACCTGCTGGGCTTAGGTGATCTTTCCACCTCAGCCTTTCAGGTAGCTAGGACTGTAGGCATGTGACACCATGCCCAGCTAATTTTTTTTTGTAGAGACATGGTCTTGCCATGTTGCCCAGGCTGGTCTCGAACTCAGGCTCAGGCAATCCTCTTGCTTCCACCTCCCAAAGTACTGGGATTACAGGCGTGACCCACTGTGGAGACCAAACAATTTTTCAAACTCTGTTCTAGCCGGGCTCAGTGGCTCAGCCTGTAATCCCGCGCCTTTGGGAGGCGGAAGT